ACATTAGGGTTATGCAGGATGGTGTTGAGCATGATGACAGAGAACGAAAGAACATAGCATGTGTCTGTGGAGAGAAGAAACTTGGATCGGTCAGTCATCTCTGCAGGTCCACAATGGCAAATTAAATGGAGAATGCATATAAAGATACTATATGAACAGTATTCAACTCTCTTTTTTTCTCATTTTAATTTTTTAGTAGTTGACTTCTAAATGATAAATTCTGAAAGCATAGAGTTTTATGCAAGATATAGGCCAGTTTTTAATGTCTCTGCATCTTTATGCATGACTCCATGCTGATAGAAATATATTAATGCTTTGGACATTTGCAGACTCTGTTTATGAATAAATAATCATTCCCTTGCGCTTTGTTTTAGCACAGTGTCTTTAGTCCTTTTCTGGGGTGGTGCATTTTATACAGTCTCTAACAGTGTGTGCCAACATCACTGCTATCATCCCTGTCGTTATAAAGCTCTGCCCTCAGAGGACCAGAATTTCTACAGATACTCAAAGTGTGCTGTAATTCAAGAGAGTCGGCCCAGCATGCAAACTATACAGTTTTAACGTTATATATCATCTTTAATGAACCGAAAAGAACGCATGTCACACCTCTGTTCATCAATTTGCACTGGCTACCAGTAGCTGCTCGAGACTTGTCATTTGCACTTATATATTGTTACTCTTTTGTTAGTTTTGACTGCTTTTATTGTCCTCATTTGTAAGTCGCTTTGGATAAAAGCGTCTGCTAAATGACTAAAATAAATAAATGATTTATTTTTGGGAATAAGGCTTTAAAGGGGTCATGAACTGCCTTTTATATTATTTTGTATGATTTTGTTCTGTTCTCTGAGGTCCACTTATAATGTTATAAAGATTTTGACATCAAAAAACATCGTAATTGAGAAGTAATAGGCTGTTTTCTGTCCTGTTTTGACCCCTCTCATCAGAACGCTCTGTTTGAATAGGTGTGGCGGATTGTAGAATCGGAAGTAAACGCCCACTGCTATGATTGGCTAACAGTTGTGTATGTTTGTCACAGCCTACATCCTTCATAGATGGATGCTGCTGATTTAGGTTAAAAACGGATAAATACTCAATACATATCAAACGATCTGTAATAACAGACAAAGCAATAGTGACGTCATAATAAAAACAGTTAATTACTGTCGGATCCAATATAGTCACACAGCATCGCCTTTTAGTTTCAATCTTTCTGAAAATCCTGCATCGAATTGTGCCTTGTTTGTAAACAAATTCGCGGCAAAATGAAGAGAACAAAGGACCAAGTTCTTACTGACGCGGTCTGGAACTTCATTATAAATAAAGTTCATCCACTCTTTCCTAATGTTGGGATCAGAAGGAAGGCAATGCA